GGAGGCTGATGGCAGGGGGAGGCGGATGCGCGATGGCGGGGGGAGGCGGAGGCGCGATGGCGGGGGGAAGCGGATGGTGGGATGGCGGGTGTGTGTGTCAACTCGGCCCGCGGATTCTTCTTTCGTCGGCGAAAAAAATCGAAAAAAAAATTAAAAAAAAATGGGGGTGTAGATATCTTTGCGCTCTACATCCCCATATTTTTTTTTTTTTTTTGAGGAAGTCTCAGAATTTTAAAACATAAAAAAACGAAATAGTGTAGGGTTAAAGAAAAAATCAATCAATCAATCAATCAATCAATCAATCAATCAATCAATCAATCAATCAATCAATCAATCAATCAATCAAGGTCTTGTTTGATCGATTTATTCATTGATTGATTGATTCACTGATTGATTGATTGATTGATTGATTGATTGATTGATTGATTTTTTCTTTAACCCTACACTATTTTGGTTTTTTATGTTTTAAAATTCTGAGACTTCCTCCAAAAAAAAAAAAAAATATGGGGATGTAGAGCGCAAAGATATCTACACCCCCATTTTTTTTTTATTTTTTTTTTCGATTTTTTTCGCCGACGAAAGAAAAATCCGCGGGCCGAGTTGAAACGAGTTGTAACGGGGTATAACGCGGAGTTGAAACGGGGGTTCAACGGGGAACCCCCGTTGAATCCAATTTCGGACACACAGGCCTCTGCTGTGTCCCACAATCGCCATTTCTTTCAAGTTGCAGTCTTTGGGAAGCCTATAAAGGTATTCTTGATGATCACTGAATCACCAAAATCGAACTTATTTTTCAATGAAAATGACGGAGAAGACATCAATTTCATCATTAAATCCATAGAAATTCCTTGAAGTTTGGTTGATCTGCTATTTTCGTACAACCTTCTTTTTAATTTTTGTGTTCAAAGTGCTGAAATTTGAATCAACAAGGGGCTCGTTAGACACTCCTTGGGGCGTCCTCGGGGATAAAAGGAAGTTTCCTTGGGGGTTTTCAAGGAAATTCCTGCCGTCGTTCCACCTATCCTTGGGGTGGTCGCCAAGGATGGTTCCTTTTGGCTGCCGGCGTACATTTTCATAATATTATAGTCAGCTGTGGGGCGGACAATGGCTTGGTCCATTGGGTGATGTCCGTCTTGCTACAACGTGGTCCAGTTGCCGAAGGCGGGAAATTTTAAAAGGCGCTAGCGACCGAAAAAAAAAACCCTTAAAAAGCGGTGGACCTCCCTGTTTGAAAATTAAATTTCAAATTGGGTGCTGGACGTCACGACGGCGACGCGGAGCAGGTGGCGTCCATATCTGCAACGGTGGAAATGGGCATTTGCAGCGGTGCAGTGGAGTCCTCGTACGTCGTCACAAATTTGTGAGCACCCCGCGAAGGTCCATCGTCATCGCCTCTGCTGCTCTGCATGCCGCCGTGCCTATGTGTTGAGTCGAGCACACGCAGGGAACGTCGTCGGGGACTTGGCGCTGAGGTTACCGTGGTCATGGTGAGTTGGCAGGGTGTTGTATTTTTGTGGTTCATGAGCATTGCAACACACGTGCCAGTGGAGGGCGGCAGCGACGACAGACGTGCGAAGTTGATGGCAACCGAGAAGACGGTCGTGCTCTTTTGTTGTCAGCAGGAGAGGGCATTGGGCAGAATGAGAGCGCAGATCCGCGCACGGAGGAGGACGCTTCATCAAGTCCCGGTCGAAGGGCTGGATACCGTGGCCATCACCGAGGCTGCAGTTCAGGTTTGATGCGCCATGGGTTGCAGTGTTCTTCCACATGCGACGTCGAGGTGGTGGATGAAAAGGAGGACGGGGGGGGGGGCATGGGAGAATCTCAGGCAATGTGATGATGCGACAGAAGAGTACTTATGGGAAAGCTGCGTATGTCGCCACGTGTCTTTCGAGCGATGACGATTGCATCCACTGTGGACGAACGCCCGCAGGATGCGCTGCCGATGTCAATGTCGACTGCAGTCATTGTCGATCTCTCGTCTTCTCTGCTGGAGGCATTCGATAGAGGTTGGCCATCAACAATAGAGGAAGCACACGTGGAACAGGAGGACCACGACAAACAAAATTGTGATTAGAAGTAGCAGTGGCAACCTTCAATAAAGGTCGGTCATACGCAACATGTACGATAGGCCCGTAATTCTACGACGATGGTGAAGGTCCAGCGAACGACGACGATGAAGGGGGCAGATGGTAGAGGACAACATATGACACACACACTCTAAAGGGTCGTATGCCCTTGCACTGCGAACCGGGCCGTGGCCTGCGTGGTGGCCTCTTGAGTGGTCCACTGTAGACCTTCTCTTCGCCTAGTGCTCGTCCATGCTGACGTCCTTCTTCGCAGACCACGTGTACATCCAGGCACCCTGCCGAGGATGCTGACGTGGAAGAAGACGACAAGGACAAGCAAAAGGATGACCAGGAGCAATAGCGGCAACCTTCGAAAGACGTCGGCCATGAAAGGCAAGTGGGGAAGGGCAGTAGCTAAACGACGAACTTCAAGGTACACCTCCCGCAAACGGCCACGAAGAGGGATGTAAATGGCAGACCGCAGCATGGGACAAACGCCTTCTAACATTTTTCATCACGGAATACAATGGGCGATCGGAGCAAAGGAGGTCAACTGAAATATTTAAACTTGTCGACCGTTCGACCCCTTTCTGTTTGGCGGCACGCACTGCGATGGAGAACACTAGTCGACGATGTCCGCGGG